AAGATCAGGCGTCTGAGTTGCTACCATCGCGACGCATGAGTGCAACCTGGACACTGGACGGCTGTCATGTGGTTGGGGATTCCCTGCCATACCCTTATATAGACCTTGACGTTTTCAGGGTTTCGAGGGGTTTTCAACCTTCTTAACTTTTAGCAGGGGATCAACGCTCCACTCAGTTTTTTTTCTTCTTCTTTCAAACCCGCCAAGCAAGACAAGAAGGCACGCAGACGCACATGGACTCCTCTCACCAACCCGGAAGCATCGGGGAGGCACTCCGAGCCTTTCCGAGCGGTTGGCAGGCAGCGTCGGAGATGACCCACGAGGCAGTCGGGAAGGGGAGAGCAACAGCAAGTTCTATGTATATATATATAATGTATATACATAATACATATATACATAATACATATGTACATATATATATATATATATAAATTATATGCTAGGTCTGGATCAGGGGGGGGGGGTGAGCATACATATATGTACAGATGGGTGTTTTGTTTGAAGTTCCGGTCTTTTTATGTTTTGGGGTTGGGGCGCCTTTTTGCACGGTACCCATTTTGGGTTGTCCAAAAAGGCGCGCTCGATTCCTGCCCGGGAGCCGATGGTCTTCTTTGGCTTTTCCGAAGCAGACAAGTGCCACGAGGACTTCCAGCAGGCGTTGCGTTCACGTGTTTAGTGAAGCAGACATGATGTTCTCATTGGTAGCAGGCAGGCCATGCCAGCACACGCCATGGATTTCCCATGGATAAGACCTCGGACCTCGGCGGCCGGGATTTAATCCGAGACCGAAAGGTACCTGCAAGACCAAGCGTCTCAAAGGGGGCTTTCGCAAAAAAGCGGGAGGGCTACCGCGCTGCGGGCCCCAAAGTGGGTGTTTCGCAAAGTGGGTTTTGTTTGGACTTTGATTTTTTTGGGGTTTGACCTGAAAAGGGTAGCTATAAGGGAACCGCTCATGGTAGGGCAGCCCTATTTGGAACTACGCTGTGGTTTGCTTGCGGCCCAAGTGGCGCCAGGTGCCTCACATTTTGAGACTCTTCGTGTTTTACCTGGAGTCCGAGCAAGGCAACGACTATGAGCAGGACGCCTTGTGAGCCATGTGGGGATCTGTTTTGCTGAGGCTCCGTACCGTTTTCAGGTAGGTTTGATGGAACGCCAACAGGAAAGCAACCCATGCGAACGGAGGTCAACACATCCTTTGCACTGACGGGTTGTAGGGGCGGGTCATCAAACACCGTTTCGTTTGCCCCCCCCCCCCCCGCTTGTTTCCCCTTTTTTCCCCCTCTTTTTTTCCTCTTTTTTTTTTCTTATTTTTTTTCAACATTCAGGGGCGCATCATGATTCTCCACAGATGGAGCTTGACCATGTGCCTTCGGCCAGTTTTTGTTGTGTGCTGAGATTTCTCCCTGGATTGCCATGATCCAATCCGGCCCTCACGCACAGATTTGCGCATGTGCGCAGACCGCAGGATACGTCGGTCAAAGAATGCAGTGAAAACATAAGATGCATTCTCCTTCATCGGAACTCGGATTTGAAAGGAAGCCAATAGGAAGCCAACAAGTTGTTTCGCACCCCATTTTTTCTTCCCCAGCTGATTTCTGCGATTTTTGACCTGAAGGATCGTATCCTGCGCAATATTCGGCGCCTTCAGGAGAAGGGAGGCTTGGGCTTGGGAGTGTGGGTGACGGGAGGGATGAGTGTCGGCTTGGCCAGTGGGACCCCATGTCGGAGCTCAATTGCCTGAAAAAAACTCGCGACCCTTTGAGCTGGGTTTTCAGGTGTCGATCCACGCGCGAAACAAGGGGAAATGCTTGTCATTCATGGAGCTGATCGGAAATAGCGAGCCCTGAAAGTGCAAGAGTCCGGTTCGCGGTGGCCAATGTGCCTCCAAGAAAGTGGAGCCGTATCAGCCCGTTGTCAACTCACCAGGTGCCGAGAACAGGGTCCTTTTGGGGAGCCTTGCATCATTTTGTCCCGCCTTCTCTTTTCGGGTGTCATCATGGCCATTTAAGAGGCGGAACACCCTCCAAAATGGGTGGCGGAGATAATTCCCCGCCTATAAATGATGTCCGTCAAGGGGCCAAACAAATTTCCCAGCTGTCGGGTGTCATTGTGGCCATTTAAACGGCATCGAAGGGCCACACAATTTTCCCGGATCTTTTCCACCAGATGGGAGGCACAACAACACGGCAGGTTTCGTCCCCAGCCATGTACAGCCGAGCCTGGCCAAGAGGTAGATCTCCTGTACGTGGGCCGTTGTCAGAATCACGGACTCCTTTTCGGGGAGCTGAACCACCAGTCACCTACGATCTTTGGACACGCTGACAAAGACACAAAGAGAACGAGGTGGTTTCCCGTGGTTTGCCATGGTTTGAATGGGGACAGGGTTTTTGTGGACTACTGCAAGGTAAACTTGAATCCCAAAAACAACACCTGTGGGTGTAAGGCAACGAACATGCAACCGAGGGCGATGGTCCCTTTACCGGGACCCTTGTCACGTTCCATGGCGTGGGTGGGGTAATGAAAAAAGCAAAGGCACCTAAACCACCTGACCTCCCCACCCAACAGGAAAAAAGCACGTGAAGCCTCACTTTTCCAGTTCGAGCCGCAGGCACGCTGGGCTCCAACATCAAGCACGCCTGGTGGGAATGCTGCGGCTGGGGCCACAGGCGCGGCCATTCCATACGGTCTTTCAGGCCTGTTTGGGGCAGTTCTGCGCATCTTGCCAGGCGAGGTGGGTTTGCGCAGGCAAGGTTGTGCGCTCAATTCCCCTGTGCCATCCACAATCAGCGCGTGTTGCTTGCTTGCTTTCGGCCCCGCCTCACTCAAGTCCTCTTTCAATCGCCTTTGGCTGCTTCCCTTGTGCTTGTCAACCTATTGAGGTCGAAAAAACGGCTGTCGACAGAAGTCTAGGGTCCAAGGCACGCTGTGTTGGCCGAGAGGGTTCGTATCAAACCTCCCTCTTCTTTGGGGGCAGCTCTCTGAGAATCCACATGGTGGCGCCAGATTCGTTTCCCGCGTTTTCTTAAAGTTGCGGTCCTCAAGCTATTGCCCAATCCACACTTCCGTTTTTTGGGGCCCAAGCAAAACTTCACGGCCAAAATCGCCCAGTGCCAAGTGTCCAAGGATGATCTTCAAGAGGGCGCCATCCAGACCTCCCCTTCCCCCTCTCTGCCCCCCACCCCCCCCCCCCCCCATCCTCCCACCCCCCCATCCTCCCACCCCACCCCTCCCCTCCCCTCCACTCCCACCTCCAGCCCACCCCCCCACCAGGCAATCCGATCGCCTGGCGCTGAGCCACCTGGATCGGGTGCTGCACGACTGCTACGACTCGCGCCTTGGACGACTTGATGTCGAGGGTCTGGGCCTGGGGACAGGATGATGTTGTATGGAATTTTTCAAAGGTTTGCTCAAGTTTTTTCGGTGATATGGACTTGTTGAGGGTTTGGGCTTGGGGAAACCCGGTTGATGAATCAAGCGCTCGATCTTGATGGGGTGTCCCATTTTTCAGGGGAGCCGGATCACTGGGAGGAACACCTCCCCAAAAAGTCACCTGAGCATTTGCTCTAGAAGATGGATTGATCATCCTCCAACCAACATTCATGAAAGTGCACGTTTGGACCTTTCAAGACGATGTTCCTGGAAGGCATCCCGCGCACTTTCATGCTGCAAGGGCATATTATTCATGCACTTTGAATTGGATCACCGAATATTGTGCTGTCAAGCTGGAGTCGAAGTCATTTTGCAGTTCTTCATGTGTGCTTGGATGTTGAACATGCTCTGTAAGTAGGTTACGGCCATGGGCTAGTCTAGTAGATCCAATGTTTCCCATGTATCTAGCGTATGTAGTGTATCCGCATCCAATGTATATCTGAGTGAATGGAGTTTAGTTCCCTTGCCATCGTTACCTGCTTGCTTCGCGGGTCAACGTCCAATGAGAATGATACAAAAATTGGCTCAGTTTTCTGTGTCCCAACAATTACGAGCGGAAACGGAACCTGCCCGCAAAAGGGTCACCATGTTCAACAACCCGCCCCATTTTTGAGGGTACCCTTTTTGGCTTGGTTTAGAGGGGAACAAGAAGGGAACCACCTGTTGGAGCACTAGCCGAACGGATGCCAGCCATGGCGAGGGAGATTACGGTGCGACAGCTGTATGGGGAGGAAAACTCACGGGCATCCGTGAAGGCAGCTGCATGCGTGGCTGCCCTGCGAAGATGAATCAAAGCGCAACATGAGCGTCGGTAGTCACTTCGTGAGCAAAAACTGAAAGCTGCATGTGCGATCCGTAGTTTTGTTTGTTTTTGAGCTACACCCATGTTGCAGCGCAAGCGCCCATCTTTGACTGCGCGGAAAGGGAGAGCTTGTGTGCCCTAGAGCCCCGAACGAGGGTCGCATGATGTTGGGGCCGTGTTGGTGAAAGAAAAAACGGCCGTGACTGGTACTCCTTTGCAATTTTCAAAAAGGGCTTGCCCAAAAGGAGTTTCCTCTACACTGACCCTACACAGGGCTGAACTAAATTTCATTCAGCGCGGCACTGAACGCAGAAACGGAACTTCAACGCGTCCAGCAAGTTGTCCGGAAAGGCAACCACGGCAATCAGATCTGTGCTTGGATCCTTTTCAAAGGTTTAAATGTGCTACCCTCATGGACACATGATTCAATTTGCTTCAGTTGAGTTGTTAGCCCCCGTTCTCGATTTTAAAGGGTATGATCATGACTGGCAAATAAGATTGGTTTATTCCAAAACCGTTACGATTCAAAGACTTCTTCCCCCTGCCAAACCCCCACCCTTCCCCAGATTCCACAAAGCGAGACCACAAGAATGCCCTATTAAGGCATTGTTTGCCGATGAGTTTTGAGACATACCCCCCCCCCCCGCAAGTGGTTGGCACCTAACGTCCACCAAAGGGTAACCCAAGGCACATACCCATGATCAAGCCCTTCCAGGGGGTCTACCGGGGGGTGAGGATCCAAGAAACAGTGGTCAGTGACAGTCTGTAAACCAATGCAAGCCCAAAAAGGAAATCGACTTCCCACGCCTTCCCGGGCTTGCTTTCCCAAGCTAAAACAAAGGTGATACTCCCGACTCTATTGGGTCATGTCTCCAGGATAAGGTCACCCTTCCCGGGCAGTTTGGATTGGTGGGATCTGGGAGTTAACCACTTGAAACCATGTGACAAGATGTCAATCCAAACCACCATTTAGTTGGGGTTAAGATGGCAGGGTGTGAGCAGTTCGGGTTTGCCATCATTTGCTTGACATTCGACGCCACCAAACTACATTCGGGCAATGACCATGGACGGCGCATTTAGCCTCCAACTTCCAGCCCAGGATCCAGGGGATCTGGTCGGTGTCGGAGCTGACCAAACAGGAGGCGGAGAGATGGGTTTTTTTGGGCCTTTGGTAGTTGGCAATCAGATGTGGGCTCGATTTTTTTGTGCTTGTTCCCATTTAGGTCGGTTTTCGTGATGTTGGAGGGCCGTTTCACACGAGGAGTGTGTCCTTGGAACCAAAATGACTCCCCATGCATCGCATTTGCTTCAAACAAGATGATCTACAAGGATACTGTACCTCTGATCAGAAAGCCGAGCTTCAGCAGAACCTGGCGGTGGCATAGGTTTCCGCAAGCCAGCTATTTGGGGTGTGTGGGGCCATGGGGCCAGGCAAAGCATGTACTTGCATAAATTTAAAGCGAGTGTTTGTTTTGTTGAGTTGATTTAAAAGAAATGGGCATGACTGGCTTATTTCACGGAAGATTCAGAACCCGGCATGAAGCGCACACAAGTCCGTGTGTGAACAAGTGGTTGGGGCGTGGCTGGCTTGAGTTCCTGCGGGCACAAGCCAAGCAAGAATCAGTGGCTGAAGCGCAGCACCCAAAGAAGCCGAGCGAAGCTCGTGGGATGTCTGGGAGCCATGGGGATTTGGATCTTTGGGCGCCACCGTGGGGGGGGGCGATTCCAACCCGAAAAAGTTGGCATGGCCATTCGTTCCACGGGAGCGGAAAACGTTCGGGTCCCGGGTCCCGGGTCCGGTGCCGGCTTCGGGTTCCGGAGGCCCCGAAAGAAACCGGTGTTGCAGCTCCGTAGGAGAGCCGCCGGAGCCCGGGGCGCAAAAAATTGGGGAGCAAAAAACCCCCCCGGAACTTTTCCGGGTTCAGGTGGAGTGAAGTCCAGTTTTTTGATCGCTCGTTGAGGCGCGGAGCGAGAAGCACCTGGCCATGATCAAAGTTGTCAAGGCTGGACGGAAAGATGGAGATTTGTACATATACTCTCCCATGGGTTCTCCTTTAGACTGAACGACAACACCAGACAGTGACGCAAATGAACGAATGCATGCCAACAAGTATGCGCACATGATTTTTACATATATATATATATATATAATGTATACACGCGCGCAAAGCTGTGGATGTGCATATCCATGCATTTGTATAGCACTTGTTTTTGTTTTTTGCGCAGGACAGATACCTCCCGCTTTTAGATGTGGTCGAGGACGCAGACAAGAGCCTGTTGCAGGGACCTGGGGCTTTTAGAAGCTTGTGAGTTTTGAAGGGTGAAGCGGTCTTGACCGAGTCTTTAACGGGTCTTCAGATCTTCAAGGGATTTGGACATCTTTTTTTTGATGGTGTTGTGAAGATGTCTCGCAGGGATTGTGAAGTGGTCTCAAGATTTGTTTGAGAAGTTTCTGAAAGGGTACCTTTGTCGAGGTAGACGGGATGGGCCATAGTTTTCGGGCTTGTGAAGTGGTTTGAAGGGTTTCTGGACGTTTCTGCAGTTCTCTCGAGGTGAAAGCGCTCGTAGTGTGTCTGGCAGCTTTTGCTGTGAGGGCGCTCTCTCGTTGCAGGAGCTGTTGAGCCAAGTGGTTTTTGCGGAGGGGCACCTGGTGGTCTTCAGTGACCAAGAGACTTTAAAGGCGGGGGTAGATGATCCGGGATTCCCTCTTTTTCCCTTCTTGTTGGTTTTAAACATCACCTTTTTGGGCCAGGAAAGTTGAGTGTCCGTGTCCCTTGGTGGGGGGTGATGTTTATAGGGGAACTATAGTATATAGGGAGCACTGATGATGGCCACAGGAATGGGGTTCTGCCACAAACGGGACTTGCAGAAAGCAGGTGTTGGCTAGGAGAGGCGTTGGGATGCTGGGATTCGTGGGAGGGCAGCCACTAACTGCTGGTAGCATGTTGCTTGTTTGGGGAAGATATGGTTTGGAGAGGCCACGTGGGGGGCCCAAACTTCGCACCAAATCTAGGCCCGCTCGTGGCAAAAAAGGACATGTTTGGGGTGTAATGTACCAAGACCTTTGTTGTGCAAAATGAAGCTGTGCGATTTTGTCGTCGAAGGGTTCCGCTTTGGCTGCAACGATGGCTTAATTGACCCCAGACTTGGTAGACTCCTAAACGGATCCCCATAACAACACGGCACCCTGCAAAGGTCAACCCTGAGTTTGAGTTTGTGGTTAAGGAGTTTCTTTTTTTTTGCTAGGGCTGGTAGATAAAAATGCCACCCCTTCAGGTAACGCTTAGTTGGTGGTTTGGATTGGCGGTTTGGGGATTTGACCTCCTGGCATTCAAAAAAAGGGACACCCTCCTTAATCACCAAAACACCGGCTCCAAACCACCAATCCAAACCACCAATCCAAACCACCAATTAGAGGGAAGCTGAGCCCTGGAAAGAAACACAGCAGCTTTTCCATGGGCGGGCGCCGCACAAAAGGTCGTGGATGAAGCTCTTAGGTCCGGGGGCTGATCAGCGAGATCCAGACCCGACAGACGGACTTTCGGCAGGCCGGGGGTAGGATGGGGACGATGGGGTCGGGCAAGGTGGGGCTTTTCTGGAAAATGTGGCCTGGGGTGGTGAAAAGGGACATCAAAGGGAAGCAATCCTGACTAGAAGTTCCCCCCTCATTCAGAAGCACAACCAGGTGTCAAGGGTGGAGCTCGGGGGGCGGAACCTTTGAGAGAAAGGCAAGGAACAAACGCCATCAGTCGTGGGGGATAGCCCCCTTGCCAAAACGGGTAAGTTCGGCCTGACTCTGCGCACACCCACAAAATCACGCAGATACGTGCGATGCTGAGCTGAGGCCTTCTACGATGAGAGGAGGAGGCTTCTGGAGAACTTGCAGCCCGGCTGAAGCGAGCGCACTTCGGGCAACAGGGCCAGGCAGCCGATGTTTCCTGTTGCTCCCGGCGAAAGCGGAAGGCCAAGCTGGGGGTTCTCTTTCTTCAGCGCCAGGCCCCCAGATTGATATGGAACCCAAAGGCACTGGTGAGATGGCGACGGCATGAAAGTGACGGCGTTGTTTTTTTTGTTCCTTCGAAAGGTACCCGCTGGCTTTGTATTAAGTGATGTTTTCCAGCAGGCACTTTTCGTTTCTATGTGTTGTACCACACTGTTACAGCAAACAATCCAACACGTAGATGCTCTGTGTCAACACTTAGATCGTTTTGCGTTTTCAACGCTTAGAAACGCCAACCGAACTGCCGGAAACCGAATAGGATATTCAAAAGAGAAAGCTCTCGAGCTAAAAACATGAGGAAAGAGCTTCAAACAGATGATTTTTGAGTCGGCCATTAAAAAGGGAAACACCAGAATGGGCTAGGAAATTCAATCCGATGTTTCCTCTCAATTGCAGTGGACAACTAGCGCAGAACGGCACTCGACAGCGTCTTGAGTTGCTGCTCGCAACTGCTTGGGACGCGATGCCATGGCTCTCTGTTCCAAACATGTGGCAGGGGTGCGCTGAGCAACATGGATACGCTGCTCAGGTTTATCGTTGCTGGGCGGCCAGACAAGTTTCTGCTAGTGCATCTACAGAGGGATGACGCAGTGAACGGCGTGATCGCTTTTTTGCGCCTGTCGCCCAAGTGCGGATCGATGATCGATGTGCGCGCATGACTAAGGAGGCGAATGTCGTTGAGTATGACATGTCTGAATTCCTCCGGTCTTGCTTGGGCGCATACCGTGAGCTGGCCGGGGTTGGGTGTGTCTTCCTTGGGCGGGCTCTCCACGCCTTGTACCGGAACGAAGGTGGAGGAGCCCATAGGCAGATTGCAGCCAATTGCAGCAAAAGTGCTCATGAAAATCTTATTTGCTGCCCGCGTGGCAAGGCACGTTAGTTTGGCATTCTGTGTCACGAAGTGGTTGACTCAGTGCGAACCAGTCATGGACTTGGAGAAGCCCTCGCAAGACCTGGAGGAGGCGCGGGAGCTTGATGTCTGACCGCTGTGGGCGACATAGGTGTCCTTCAACTGGTTGGCTTGCTTGTTTCCACCCCGCGTCTGTGATACATGTGGGAATCTCCCGCTTTGGAGAACTGAGCATCGGCAAGGCTGATTTTGGCTGCGACGACGCTTTCCATCGTTTAGCGTCATACGTACATCTTGGAAGGACGATGCGTGGGTTCGGCGACTGCCAACTTTGGCTGATGGGCTTCCTACGTCAACACTGTTTTGTCAGGTTTGTATGTTTGGCAAGGCAGCAAGGCCGGCAAGGCAGCAAGGCCGGTAAGGCGTCACTTACTATGCCTGAAGGGAGAATAGCAAGAACGCGATGAGGTTCGATACGGAAATGTTGATGCACGGACTTAAATTGCTAATGCATCTAGGAGATAAATGGAAGGTCAAGTTTCAGCCAAGCCACTATTACCATATTGCGGGAAGGCCAGCGTCAAAAGTTGAGGCACACTGACCGGACTCAGCGCATCAGCCTCCGCTGGTTGCAGGAGAAATCTACAAACTGCCTGTTTGACATAGTAAACGTCGACGCAACCCGGCAGGCAGCTGACATCCTTACCGAGGCTTTCAACAGCACTCCCGCGTGGCATCGTGCTATTGAGTTGACTGGCGTTTCACGTGTGTGTGCGAGAGCGATGCCTCGGGCACATGTACTTTTTTGCGCAGCCGCGTTATAACTTGCGTGTCCCAAGCGTGTTTGGTCTTCGGGAACATACAGTTTGCGCGCGTTTGCTGCGTTGCTTGTAATGCTGTGATTCAGCGAAGGCCGTCGCTGCGATCGATGGCGTTCGATCAGCCGGTGTCGGGCTTGTGGGTGGCTGTCTCGAACAATAGAGACCACGTCTGATGGACTTGCGAAGTCGAGCGTCGGAGCATCTTGGTGTTTGTCAAGAGCACAAACATGAACCAAATTTGTGCAGTGTATCTATCGCAGACTCAGCCTCGCGAGCCTCGTGGTCTCCAACGCAAAGCGGTTTCGGTGTTTCCCCGTGACGCTGGATGAAGCGGGCAGTGTCCTGGAAGAGATTGCCAACATCGCAAAAGAGCCGTGGAGTGTCTCGGACACAGAGCGGATCTCGAACATTCGACGTGAAGCGAAAGATTTGTCATGGCAAGGGCGGGGTGTGAGACATCTTGAAGGGGGCTGGAGGAATCTGACCGCTGCCTGGCCCTGGGGGCCGAGGCGAATTTTGCGAACAGGAAATTCAAAGGGATACCTTCTGAGAAAATGCTTGAGGAAAAAGCCAAACTCATCGTTTCTGAGTAGGAACTTGAAAAGGGGATGCTTTTAAGTCCGAAATGGCAGATTTTTCATGTCGTCATTTTCGAACAGCACACTCAACAGAGACGAGGCAACTACTTTTTGGGGTAACAAATAGAAACGGTTCTAAGCGTCGAGCCCACTGAGAATACGCATGAATCACCATGAAGGAACAAGTGTACGTCAGCGGAACCGTTTCTAAGTGTGGATTTTTGTTGTTCCTAAGTGTTGGATCTAAGCTTTAGGAAAATCATTCCTAAGTGTATGTCCGACACTGTACAACTACAGCTCCATGGTAATCTGCAAGGTGGGTTGAAAGGTAAGGTGGGAGTAGACTTGCTCAAGATGGGCCCGTTTTTCTTTGGACCTTCAAAGTTAGAGCGAAACCCGGTACGAACGGGCCGCCTCTGTTTTGTAGGGTTCAAGGGCAAGCCTCGGGGTGGAAAAACTCAAGTGAAGCCGAAACCCGATACCATTTTGTGCACCGGACTTGAGTAAGCCGATAAGGTGTCAAGGTGTCAGGCGCGCAGCCAAGGAAGACGCTCGAGATTGCGGAAGCGATCAATGAGCTGGAGGTGATTCATGCTGTGGCCGCCCACATGTTGCCTGGCGTCAACTTGTCCTGATCCGAGACCCCTGAACATACAAATCGTTTCGCGGCATGTGCAGTTGGGCCAAAGTGGATGGCACAGCTCCCCGCATTGTAGCTTCGTCAGCCCCTTTACAATCGGAGTTTGTGGCTCCTAAAGCTTCGGCTTCTCTAAAGTGCGTGTTTTTGGGGCAAGGTTTGGAACCCCCTCCGTGAGTAATTAGTTGTTCGGAAGGCCTTCCATTGGTAAGTGGGCAGTCCATTTGCCAAGGATGATGGTGGTCAACGGTTTCAGGCATTACGCGCCTCGGCAAGAAGCGAGCGAGTACCAGCACAAGCCATGGTCAAAAGATCTCGTTTGGGACGAGGATGGGAGCCTTTCAGAGTTTCCATTGAAGGACAACACAATCTCAACCAGGAATCCCAGACGCCTAGGGGACTTCATCATTGGTGTCCTTGTAGGTCAGTTTTGTTGTATATAGATGGCTTGCACTGGATTCCGTTTGGTTCTGTTCGAAAAAATGTCCTCAACCTTTCCGCTCGCCTTTTCAGCCTGAGGCAGAGAAGGTCCTGGAACAGAAGGACGAGGTGCGGGTGAGCTGAGCAACATTTGGGTTCTCCACAAAAACACATGGATGCAGACAAATGCCGCTCACAGCCCTGTGTTTCGTAGCTTTTCGAAACCCCTGTTGTTTCTCTACGAAAAATGCTTCTTCGGATTCTTTACCGCGCGGTTTTTCGTAGACCTTGGCGAAGAGGCTTGCAGCGCCCCGCGGCGTTTCGTGTTCGCATGCCACCAAAAGCTCCCGAGGCGTAGGTTTTTGTTAAGATCAACGGACTCCGGCTTTGTCCATACATGAGACATGAGTTGCTGACCCAAGTCAACCTTGTGCTACTCTGTGTGTACCTTTCTTTTTGCGGCTACCCAAGGTGTTGGCGGTTTAAAAAGGGAAGCCAAGAGGAACGCCGCCCATTTTTGGGGTCCCCTACAAGAAGCCACCCCCCATGTGGAGTCTCAGGCCTTGTTTGGGAGCTGGGAGCTCCACCGTTGCCTGGCTCCCAGGGGTCGAGCTGCCTCTGCGACATGGAGGGCTTCGGCATTAGCAGTCTCTTCAAGGGGGTGGCGCGTCGCGGCGAAATTTCTTTCGTGTTGGAAGGTGTCGGTGTGATACGTAATGTCGGGCTGGTAGGTAAGGTCAGTTTCTGGTTTTTGGTATTAGGGAGGGTGTCCCCCTAAGCGAAGGTTCCAGATCCAAACGGGGACACCCGATCAAAACCGACCCGGAGTTTAGGAATCCTGGTTCCCAGATGCTTTAGGCACGGGGAACCCCATATTCACCCCTGCGGAGAAACTTGCTAGGATATCCTAGATGTGCGGGTGGCGACAGTCACGAAGCCGCAGTGGGCTTGAGGGCCATTGTTTCAACTGACGGTACCATGGCTAGTCAATCGGCGAGGACCTGGGCCTTGGGTGTTTATATTGCCCTTGCAGGAACAAGTGATACTGTGGCTATGCATCTTTGAAGGCGGTGAGCAGTGTTGACCATTGCACAGACGCTGTTAGTGAGATGGAAGTGCAGCTTTTGCCGCAAGGCAGTGTTTTGGAGGTCTAGTCGAAATCCCATGCTCGAGCCGAGGACTGTGAAGAACGCCACTCTGGCTGCAGAGAGATGAGGTTCCGGGGTCCATCTATTTGGTTTTAGGGCTGGTTTCCAGGGAAGCCAAACAAACACGAAAGGGACACAACCCATTTTGGGGGTCCCCGTATTTTGTCCATTTTGACACATACCCGTACCTTTTGTTAGCTATATTTTGCGCGCTTTAAAGATGGAAACACACATCATGCCTTAGTTTCCTTTTGGCGGGGTGACATTTCTTTCTTTGGGTCCATGTAAGGAATCTAAGGCCTAGCCGTAACAATTGACCAGGGCCTTCTTCATCCTGGGTTCCCACTTGATGTTGCTTGCTCAAAGTGACAGTTGAAGGCCAACATCCACCTAACCTCCACAAACATTCCTGCCGCGTTGGGGTTGGATCAGAGGTCATTCCTTTGGACTCAGTTGCGAGCAACGACCAGGAAGCAGTTTCTGTCCTGGGATGTTTGCAGCTTCGTTTCTGGAGGGACTGCCTGCTTTGCGTGCGCTCAGAGTGCACTCGGGTTGGTCAGAGTTGGGCCAGCAAGAGCGGTTTCCATTGGCATCCACGTGACGCAGGGGCTTTCCAAGGACTCCCGCGGCTTTTCTTGGCACCAAAGAGTCCTTGTTCGAGGAAAAGGGACCTGGGACCCCGCGGTGATGTTGGGTCAGGTTCTGTCACTTGGTAGGAACAACGTGGGTGTGTATTCTTTGGAGGGTACCCTCTTCAGGTTGATTTAGCTGGACACCAACAAGTGTAAAACTGCCTTGCTCCGACACGCCTTCGCTCCATTCACCGAGCGACGCGGAAAAGCCGAGGTGCGATACTCCTTTCGGGTGGTGGTCTCCGTACTGCTTGGGTTTTTCACTGGCTACTATGGAGGAGGACTGGGGTTCTTTTGGGCGCGCGGGGAGTTGGGGGTTGAGAGGAAGCTTTGGATTCCCGGACCATTTTGGTCGGTTGGTTGGTCACCTCCCCCCCACCACCAAAAAACAAGCAAAAAAAAAGAAAAGGAACAGACCAAACAACCCTCCCCTGAAAAGGCTGAGAGCAACCCCCTTCCCCCCCAATCCAACCCCGACTCGGCTTGTCAAACTTGTTGTAGCCGCCAGGCATGGTCAACCCGGGCACTCCCGCATCTCGGCGTTCGGGAATTGGTCGGCAAGTGAATCGACGCTCACCTTGGGCGTGAAAACGCGGCTGCAGTCGTTTTGCTTTTTGCTTTGTTTTCAGGTAACCCTTAGTGGGTGCTTGGGTGGGTGGGTGGTGGGTGGTGGGTGTTTCGGGGGTGCTTTTTTGGGTCTTAGGTGACCTGTCAGATTGGTGGTTTGGATTTGGATCTGCACCCCTGGCTTTTGTAGAGGGTAAACCACCCCCAATCACCAACTCACCAACGCAAACCACCAACTAGTCGGAAGCTGAAGGTCAAGGAGAAATCATGAGACACATGTGTTGGATCCAATTTTGCAATGAATCCTCCTTTGACAATCGTTCGGAGCTGGCTGATATCCTCCCAGCAAGGGTGCAGGCCCCTTGAAAACTACTTTCCCTTGAGAAAAGGGCTTGTTGCCTGCGCTTCCATGTTTGTTCAAGGGAACATCCTGGGACGACACCATCGTACTCAGAAAGAACATGCGTGGTCTCACTTTTTCAGGGGGCCCCTGTTTTGAAAAAGCCCCCTAAGGGTATGTCTCAAACGCTGGTTATCTTTTTTCACCTGAAACCACGCCAAACAGGGTACCCTCAAAGAAAGACAGACCCATACGACTCTGCATGTTCCCTCGAAAGTGGTCGGTGGACATAACAACTCCAGAAAAATGAGGTCCACCAAACGGTTTTACCATTAAAGCAAACAAACACAGCAACACGTCTATACTGTGGATGGACGAAGCCCTGCACATCCCTGGAATGATGATTCCTTTTTTATTTATTTATTTTTTTTTAAACAAACAAACAACAGCAAACAATGGTTTCCCATAGTTTCTGGGTGGTGCGAATTGAATTTCGTCCATCCACAGCATGTTGGTACGCCATTCGCCTTTTTCAACTTTGGCATAATGTGTGGACTGATTTGTAGAAAAGTGATGATGGTAGAACAGGGCTCCTTAAAAGATACATTTTGCCCATTTGAGACATGTTGCTTTTTCAACACCAAAATACCTTTTCCGCCCAAATAAAGAAATGGAAACAACACCCTTTAGCAGGCAATGTTCAGGTGTATGCATCCGGATCGTAGAATTTGATAAAAACCTTGAGGTGTGTACCCTCCCCTTGGATCCGAGTGGTCCAGCCGGGGCCGCCGGGGTGCAGCTTGAGGCCATCGCCAAGGCCACGGCCACGCTGCTCAGCAAGTTCCCCGGCTCCGCGCTGGCGCCTCGCCGGCGAGGAGTTCAGAGCGGGCGCCTTTTTTTGTGTGGAACTTTTCGAGGGGTGGATTTCCGTGGCCCGTCCTTTTTTTTTCGGGGGGTACCTTTTTTTTTGGGTTGGTGTGCGGTTTTGGAGGGAGAACAAAAGGACAACCGAAGTCCTCTTTGGAGGTCAGCCAGGGAAACACAAGCTCGCGTGTTTTGGTTTTTGGGACCATGGTTTGGATTCGATTCGTGCCTTCTTGAGGTGAGTTTTTGTTTCTTCCTCCTTAATTATTGAGGTGAACTTGTATGCTTTGAGGTACCAGTGTTTCTTCCGTTGCTTGGGGCATATTGTTCCAAGGTTCTTTCGGGCTCTTTTTAAGTTCATACCCTTTTCACCTGGGTTTCAGTGAAGCCGAAAGGAGAAGTGCCAATGGTCCCCGTATTCTGACACATACCCCTTCGTGCGGGTGGGCTGGGGGCTGCGGGGTCTGGCTGAATCACCCCCCCAGCTCCTAAAAAGCCGAATACCTGAACCAACAACTTGAGAGGATCCCAAAATCGTGGGCTTTGCAACAAAAGGGTGCAGGGGATCCCTCAAGAAAGACGTTCCCATGCCCAAAAAAACTCCTGGAGTCACTGGGTCCCAACGCCCCTCGCCTCGCTCGCCAGTGGCTCGCCAGTCGCCTAGGTGAAGAACCTGAGCCGGATCCAGGGCGTTGTGCTGGGCACCGTGGTTCCCTGGCTTCGATTGATTTGGGAGTGTGTATTCTTGACCCCCACAAATTGTGACTTTCCTTCTGGTTTAAAGGAGACACACCGCACTTACCCTCAAGAACAAAACAGATCCATTTAATGGGTTGTATATTGTTTTTGGGATTGGGATGGGTTGATCAAAAGGTCCTTTGCATGATGGGGATGACCATGGTGGCTCTTCTTTTGTTGTGGGGCTGGAGTTCGGTTTTCTTTTGGGAACCCGGATGAAAGCAACCGCATTTCCGGGCGCCTTTGAAAGGGCAGACACCCTGCCACTGGGGCGAGAGGTGAGGCCTGTGGGTTGAGGCCGGGATGTGGTAAGAAAACTGCAATCTAGATTGCAGTTTGTAGTTGGTCTAAAAGCCATCCAAGCAGAAAGCAAATCGTGTTGACTAGAGCCGCCCCGGTGCACCCAGCTGTCTTAACGAACCCGAGCTTTTTTATTATAGCCCAGGCGGCTGGAACACTCAGTGGCTCTTAAAAGCTTTCCCCCTGTGGACGAACGGTTTATGAGAAGCCATTGTTTGGTGGTTGTTGAAACAACGATTTGGTTTGCACATTTAAAGGGAGTTTCCTCTTGTGCGGGGGGTTTATGATTCAAGGTTGGACACAGAATCGGGATCAGCAAACTGGGTCTGGGCCGCTTCGGGACGATCGACTTATGGGAAGAGAGAAGGGGTCTTTGTCTTTGGCATTTGGTGGTGATAACTTGGTTGACGTTTCACCAAGGAACTTTGGGAAAACTCCAGAGTAGCTTTTTGTGGAGAGTCACACTCCATTTCAAACTATCACCAGCCAGGGTTGAATCTAAGAAACTGTGACACTTGTAGAGAACCTGCGTGAGGTAAATTCTCACCCATGCGGCACCCTCAAAAGCAGCCTACACATATATATATATATATATATAGGTCAGTTTTCATAGATCAGTTTTCATCGGTCAGTTTTCATAGGTCAGTTTTTTGTGTGTGTCCTGCTTGCTGAGGTCAGTTTTCCAAAGAAAAACACATACGATTCATGGAACAATTGTCTCCAATCCTATTCAATAAGGTGTCAACACAGTACGTCTGGATGCGTGCTGCAAACAGGCTCAGGGTCCTTCCACCCATGTGCCGCACAACCGGCGCCAGTTTGGGCAGCTGCTGGATACTCTGTTCCACAGATCCAGCTACTGCTCCTACTGGAATGAGGTTCTGCTCCTGGGCACGGATTTGAGCGAAACGCCGGGTCGTGGGGCCCTTTTGGTGGAGCTTCTTGATACTGACTCTTGGATTCCTTGTGGATCAACTAGGCTTCCCGGATTCCTTTTGGTGGAGCTTCCAGTTTGGTGGAGCTTCTGTTTTTTTGGACTCTTGGATTCAATTTGCAGGCTACTGGAGCTCAACAAGGCTCTGCTTGTTACTCCTCTCCATGTTCGTTTGCACAGCAGTTGCAGATTGCAGATGCTGAGGAAAGCCGGTTCAGGCCGCGAACAAAGCCCCGACATTTACCATGGAGGATTACTCACCATTTAGCGATTCATTCCAGGACATCTAAGCAGGGAAGCATAAGTTCCAAGTTTCATCGAACCCGCTGCCCCTTCACGCCTTCTCGAGCGCTGGAGCCAGGCTGACGATTTGGCGTTTTCCTTTTTGGAACGTGCCCCCCAAGCTTGAGTTTGACTCTGTTGCCCAGTGATTCCCGTTTTTCCATTTTTGGTGTAAGCGTGCCCCTTGATTTTGCGATGTGTTTATTGAGGTGGGATGTTGTGAGTTTGGCTTCTTCCTGCCAAATGGCGCCGCAGGTTGAGCGCGCGCCATGTGAAGACGCGAGATCTAAAGCTTTGGACGCCGAGGCTGGGCTTCTGCTTTGCGAACTACATCTTCGCCACGATCTTCATCCACTTCTACGTCACCGACTTCGCCATCATGGGGATCCAGATGGCCAACTTCGGCGGCACGGACCGATTCAAGAAGTTCGGAGTCGGTAGTCGGTTGGCTTGGTTTGGAAGGGGGCAAGTGAGTTGAAAACGGGTATTTGAGAACTCTTGACAACTTTTCTTTGCCGCTTCTGTTTGACAGTGGCTGTTTCTGATCCAGTACTGTAGGCAAGGGTGCCTCAAGGGACAATCTCGCTTTTGCATGGTTTGACAGGGCAACTGGGTGGACACGGGCAGTTTAGAGAGTATTTCTTTTGGAGTTGCGCTCATGTCAGTCTTCTATGGTTTTAAGGCGCCCATGCTACAACCGCACAAGCATGAATTATTGCTCCGAACGTCAATACAATTCTACAGCCACGAGGGTAGACAAACTGTAGCATCCTTTTTCCGGTGACCAAGTTTCCAGTTGGCATCATTGCCTTTGCAACCCTTAGGTTCAGTTTCAGCAGTTGTTGTTGAATTCAGTATGTGGCGGATGGCTTCGTTTCAAAGCAAAGCACACACACACACACACACATCTTGACAAAACGGAGACATCAAGCAGGTCATACCTATCAATGCTTCATTGGCTTGGGCATATCCCAGAAAAGCTATGTCGGTACCCGGTACGTTTGCTGGCCTCGGCATGGCGGCGGCCAGGAAATGATGACTGGGAATTGTGGTGAGGAGGAGAACACGTCGAAGGCGTGTGATGTAGTCATTTGCGGGGTTGCCACTGTTAGTCACACAACGGAAGATTTGGAGAATCGCCAAGGCAGATGCAGTTTTGTCGAGCAACAGTTTTGGCTCAAGCTGGCTCACACTCTCGTAGCTTCTTACAAGTGCCTCGGCAAACCGCGCGTTTCGTGTTGTCATGCTGCCGCGTCTCCTCACCCTGGCCGCATTCGGCTTGGTCTTGGCAGCAACCACTCCCGACTGGGACACCCCTCGCCAGCTCCGCGGCGACGCGAGTGGCGTCAAGCAGGCGGACCCGACTGCCGAGACAGAGGAGGCCTCAGAGCCCTCAGAGCCCTCAGAGCCCTCAGAGCCTGAGACGGCGGCCGAGGCAGAGACAGCCCCGGATGCACCCGAATCCGAGGAGTCGTCTGTGGTGGAGCCCGAGATGGATAAACCCAGTGAGGAAGGGGCTCAGCCCGAGCAGCCCAAGGTGAATGAGACCAAGCTGCAGAACCAGAGGGAGACGGAGGAGGGTGGACTTTGCTGCTTCAGTGGCGAGAGCAAAAAAGACACGTGTGCCAGCTGCTATCCCATGTCCATCGCATCCTACAACAGCAAGTGCTCGAAGAAGAATGAGTGCGGGCACTGTGGTGGCACGTGGTGCCAGAGCACATGTGTGACCGGAGCCGCTGACCCGTTCAGGAGGTGCCAGACTGCTTATTCGGAGGGCACCAGCAGCGATCCTGTGTGCGCCAAAGACGCAGAGGGCTGCAAGAGCTGCCAGGGCGAATGGTGCCGCGCTGGATACGACTCGCACTTTACTCTGACTGAGGGCAACTACGGACGTGAGGTGCCAGAATATGTGGCACCAGAAGAGACTCGCGGAGTGTGCTGCTACCGCGCCACAAACAGAACAGACACCTGCGGCAGCTGCGCCGACGTGGCCAAAGACTCCACTTGCTCCTCGAAGAGCCGCTGTGGCGGCTGTGGTGGCACCTGGTGCCCTGGACCCAGATGTATCAAGGCCTTCAAGAATGCCAAGGACCCGTGCAACACTGCCTTCCCCTTTACGGGAGTCGCGGCAGCGGATGACTTTTGCTCCCTGAATCAGAAGCATTGCTCAAGCTGCAAGGGCGCATGGTGCATGATTGGCAACATCACGTACTATGATGGCACCAAGTACGATCCCAGTACTCCTTATCAGTCTCCAACAGACCAACGACTTGAGGCGGTGAACCAGTCTGAGGTTGAGGAAGCAGAGCAGGAGGTTGCGAGCGATGAAGGCCTCGATGATTTATTCCCTGACGGCTTGGCGTAGTGCCATTGGACAGATGGTGCCTTATATGCCAGCGACATGTTTTCCAGCTTCAACTTGTGCAGTCGAAGTATTCCCGTGCTTGTCACAGACCACTTATTGGACCTTGCAGACAGCGCTTGAGTGCAGTTGTCTCCAATTTTAACACTCACAGCTTCCCTGCACAGTGAGAAGCGTGTGAGTTGCATGAGGAATCGTTCCGTTTTAGCTTTTGGTGCCACCAATGAAGCATCACTGATGCACATTGAGTCGGCCTTGATTAATTAACACTGTCCAACATCTAGCACTAAAGGAGCAAAAAGACAAGCCTTTGATAATAACATTATTATTATTATTATTATTATTATTATTATTATTATTATTGCTCTTATTTATTGCTAGCAAGTGTTGGTTTGATCAACTTGTCTCTGCAGCTCATGATTTTCTTGCTGTATCACTGCGACTTCCGAGCTTTGTGAGCCCAACACTCAACTCAGCGACTTTGTTGGCCTTGACATTGGTGGCAGCTTGCAGGGTTGCTGAACAAACAACAGGAACCAGAGAACAATTGCTTTTGGGTCGCTTTGTGGTTTTCAGTCTGCCTTCCGCCATACTCTCATATTCCATGGGCCCATACTCGCTTAGCAGCCTTGCCAAGTCTCTGCCATTTGAACACTTTCAGTGGCACCGATTTTCTGAAATGCTGATCAAAGGGCAAGGGGGTCAGTCGTTTTGCTTTGCAACATCAAACCAACGCACACTGGGGTTGAACAACGGTTTTTCCAAGCTTAAACTTCAACAAGCATTCCGCCTAAATGGTGTCAACCCAAAGATACTGTGGATGGACAAAATCCTGCACCACTTTGAAGCCATGGGAAACCATTGTTTCTTTGCATTTTGGGCTAAAGCGTTAACCGTAGGTGGTCGCTTGTCTTGACTCTTAATAAGTATCCACTTGGGCCACCATTTTGGCTCAAGTGGACCTTTTGATCTTTTGTCTTGTGATTTGAAATCTTTCTTTCCCCTACTCTCAAAGCCATGTACGCCCCCGCCTACGCTGGTGCCGCGGTAGCAGAGGCCAAGGCTAAGGCAAAGGCCTCCATGGCAAAGTACCTGGCGAGCCTCGTGAAGAGGGAGGAAGAAGGATGGACCGTTTTGGCTGCTGAGGTCCCTCAGGCACCTGACGAGCGGTTCTTCTCCAGCGCAGATGAGCTGGAGCAGGCCCCCCTTATCCCGGCCAAGCGCAAGGCAGAGGATGAGCCAATGGAAGATGCAGCCCCTGGGGTGGCGCAGGTGCCGAAGGCCCTGACACGCCCTCCAGGGGCGCTCCTGGAGCTCCTGAACCCGCCGGAGGAGGACGTGCCCATGGAGGAGCTCCTGGCGAAGGACGAGAAGGAGCTGCCGATGCCCAGGTTCCCCTCGGCTGCAGCCCGCTTGGAGGAGGCCCGCCTGGATGCCCGGGAAGACGCCAAGTGGCAGAGGCGCCGGGAGCTGATGGCGAAGGTCAAGGAGCAGGCGTCCTCGGAGGAGGATGAGAACCCCGCAGCCCCCCCGCCGGGGGGGAGCGTGTTCACCACGGAGGGCCTCTACCAGTTCAGCGATGACCAGATGGCGGGCGACTTCCCTTGCTTCGATGAGACCACGGCCACTAGGCTCCGCCGACTGCAGGCCAAGGACAGGTGCCGAGGGCCCTGACAGGCCGCCCACCATCCCCCCAGCCTCGGGCTCTGGCGTGACGAGCTCAGGTGCTGAGGGCCCTGACAAGCCGTCCGCCACCCCGGTGGGCCTGGACACCAAGGACCCGGAGGTGCAGCTCTCGGTCCTGCGCTGGATGATGAGCAAACGGGTCGGAGAGGTCCGTATCTTTGCGGGCCGCTGGGTCCGACGACCGGGCCCGGTACACGTCCCGGATTGGGCGAAAAACCTCACCAAGGTGAATCCGGAGGCGTTGGAGAAGGGTACGCATCCCAGGAACCACCAGGTGGGTGGACTCCCCTGGGCCAGGTACTCCGTTGATGAGTTGAACCAGCAGGCGAAGGCGGGGGACCGACCCTACCCTGGGGACCTGCGATCCATCTTTTGGGCTGCCCCCCACGATCCGGATGAGGACTTCCACTGGACGCGCCAGATCTCGTCCTGGACACTCCCAGGCCTACTGGGGATGTTCGGGCACAGCTACACCCTGCGCCAGCTCTGGGGAGTCTGGGAGTCTCTGCCACTGCTGCAGGGCCCTAGGCAGCGGGGCCCGAAAAACAAGGCCCAGAATCAGACCCGCCTGGAGGGCTGGGAGACCCTGAAGGAGGACGCGCGGTGCTTCCTGAAGGAGGAGGGCCTTCCGTTTCCGCAGACAGGACCGGAGTGGCGATTGGTCTACCGGGCCATGGGCAAGGTCCTCGCGGCCCGGGCCTTCCTCACGGACACCCCGGCGGAGGTGATGCAGCTCCCGGTCCAGGACGTGGCGGACTCCAAGGAGCAGATGATCCTGCGGGCGGTATGCGACGAGCGCATCTCGGTCCCGGTGGAGAGCCTCCAGCAGTTCCCAGAGGTGTACAAGGCCCTCATGGACCGCATTGGAGGCCGGGGGCCCTGGCGGAGGTGAAGGTCAACTGGCGCTGCAACACGAAGCAGTGGTGGGTCGGCGCAGTCCCCGACTCAGTGGCCCCCTCCATCTACCGCAAGCTCGGCTACACCAACGACATGATCAAGCTGATGGGCCTGGACCCCTCCGCCCCTGGGTGCCGGACAGGTGCCGATGGCCCTGACATCCGCCCCAGGGGAGGCGAGGGCGATGAGGGGATCGTTTACCCCCCCATCACGGCGGACAACGTCCACGGCGTGGTGGGTAAGGACTACCGGAAGAAGAACTATCCGGTGGAGATGAAGCATGTCTTCTGGGCGCACATGGAGTGTGGCCTGGTCCTGAGCTCCGTCACCCCGTGGGAACTCATCCCGAAGACAAAAGGGGAGACCCGGGGGGGCTACATGTGCAAGTATTGTAAGGGGTACTGGCGTGCCGGGGGAGGGGGCACCCGCCTCCTCCAGATCCGGGCCGGCAAGGCCATCTTGCAGCTGGTGTTGGACGAGCCGCCGGAGGGCCTCTACAACCGCTGGGTGAAGGAGCGGCTGGAGTACTACCGCCGGGTGGAGCCCTCGGCCCCGTTGCGGGACGTCTCCATCGTGGACCAGAAGGTGCCCAGGTTCAGATTCAGCCAGACCACCCAGACAGGCCACGTCTCCAATGCCATCTGGGAGCTGATTCTGCGGAATCCGGAGGCTGCTGCGCTCAAGCGCATCGATGACATCGCGAAGGGGGCCGCGTGATGATGCGGGACAACGCCATCTTCCGGCACACCATCCAGGACCGCGGCCATCCGGAACGGATGCGCAGCGCACCCCGGGGGGGGGACAGCTGCCGAAGGCGCTGATATCCCCCCCCAGGGAACAGCGCAGGCCCAGACTTGCACCAGGCGAGGAAAATTGGCGCGGCTTGGGCTGATCCGGGGTGCGCCTTGGTTCCCCTCTCTTGTTTGGTTTTCCCTTTTCGGGGCGGCTCCCTGGGTCCCCCTTTTTCCCCCGTTTCCTCCGTTTCGGGGTTGACTTTCCGGGGTTTTGGGGGGCCCCCTGTTGTTTGGTTGGGGTTTGCACCTAGGGACTAGGCCCCCGGCTCGAGTGGATCATGATGATGTGGAGGCCCCGCCTCCCTTCCCCGTTTGGGACGACCTTCCTAGGGGCG